GGCGCAGTTTCCTTATTTTGCATGTAGCTGTCTAGATGTCCCAGCATCATTTGTTGAAGAGACTGTCTTTTTCTCAGTCTTTATTCTTGCTTCCTTTGTCGTAGATTAATTGACCAAATAGGTATGGATTTATTTCTGGGGTCTCTGTTCTGTTCCATTGATCTTTGTGTCTTGTTTTGTGCCAGCACCATATATTTTGATTACTATAGCTTTGTAGTATATTACAGTCCTTTTACTATGCTGCTGAATTCTGTTTGATAATATCTTGTTGAGGATTTTTACATCAATGTTCATAAAGGATATTGGTCTCTAGGTTTCTTTTCTCTTTAAAACAATTTATTTAAACAAATAAAGAAGAATTCACCCATTTCCCCCACTCCATCCCCCCACCTCTGGCAATCACCGATTTGTTTTCTGTATGAACGTAATTTTTTTTAAGATTCCACATATCGGAGAGATCACAGGGTACTTGTCTTTCTCTTTCTGGCTTATTTCACTTAGCATAATGCCACAAAGTCCATCCATGTTGTTGTAAATGGCAAGGTTTCATTCTTTTTTATGGTTGAATAATATTCCATTGTATATATATATACCACAATTTCTTTATGCATTCATCTGTGGATGGACTTATTAGGTTGTTTCCGTATCTTAGATATTGTAAATAATGCTGCAGTAAACATGGGGGTGTATATAACCTTTTGAGTTAATGTTTTTCTTTGGATAAATACCCAGAAGTGGACTTGCTGGATCATATGATAGTTCTAGTTTTAGTTTTTTGAAGACCCTCCATCCTGTTTTCCATAGCACCAGTTTACATTCCCTCCAACAGTGCACAAGGGTTCCTTTTCTTTACATCCTCGCCAACACCTGTTGTTACTTCTTGTGTTTTTGATAGCCATTCTAACAGGTATAAGGTAATATGATTGTGGTCTTGATTTGCATCTCCCTAATAATTAATGATTTTGAGAATCTTTTTAATGAACCTATTAGCCATCTGTGTGTCTTTGAATAATGACTATTCAGATCTTTTGCCCATTTTTTAATCAGATTCTTTTTTTTTTTTTTTTACAATTAGTTGTATGAGTTCTTTATATATTTTGGATATCAGTCCCTTATTAGATATATTACTTGGAAATATTTTCTCCTATTTAGTAGGTTGCCTTTCCATTTTGTTGATGATTTTTTTCAGTGTGCAAACATTTTTAGTTATGATGTAGTCCCACTTATTTATTCTTTCTTTTGTTGCTTTTGCTTGTGGTGTCAAATCTAAAATCATTGCCTAGACCTATGTCAAGGAGCTTACCACCTATGTTTTTTCTAGGAGTTTTATGGTTTCATATTTTCCTGTTTCTTTGTATGCCTTGTGATTTTTTGATTGAACACTGGGCATTTGAATCTAATAATGTGGTAACTCTGAAAATCAGATTCTCCCCATTCTGCAATATTTGCTGTATTTTCTTATTGTTTTGTTTATTTTTATTTATTTTTTGATTGTCGTAGGCTTTCTCTGTGCCAAGGACCAGCCTGATGTGTAAACTTAATGTCTTCTTAGGTGTATTCTGAGCCTTTCCTTGGGTATGCACAGTTACTTTCTTATTCTCCTAGTATATGCAGTTGTTTTTGAATGTCTTGGTCTTCAATGTCTGGTTCTTGAAGGGGGAAAAGCAAAGAATGAAGGAGGAGAAAATGAAAAGGGAAAAACACAAACTGAAGGGGACTTGCAACAACTGGGGGAAATGCATCAACAGTGGCTGTGTGCCTCTTTGCATCTGTGTGATCAGAGACACCGGTCTGCAGTCAGAGCATGGGAACTTGCACAGAATCCCTTTATAATTCCTGTCTGTGTTGCATGTGTTCGTGGTGTGGATTCTTTAAGTCCTATGGTAGCTATGTCTTCGTATGTTTCCTTATGAGAATAACTTCTTTGAGACCAGGAAGAGTATTTTATTCAACTTGGAATTCTCAGAAACTAGGGCAGTTCCAGGTACATGTGAGCACTCAGATTTTTTGTATTAAATAACAAAATAATTCACCAATGGTATTTCTATTATTATTATTTTTTTTTACTCACAAAGTATAACACAAAATAAACTATATAGTAGAGGTCCGTAGTAACATTTTCTGGCCAGTTTTCAACAGTAAAAAATGGTAAGAATTAGTCTTTGAACTTCTTTTTTTCAAATCACCTGATTCTGATCACTTCAGACTGAGCAGAAATGTGCTTTTCTAGGGATCCTTGTCATTCAGGGATGTGACTGTGGGCTTCACCCAGGAGGAGTGGCAGCACCTGGACCCTGCTCAGAGAACCCTGTACAGGGATGTGATGCTGGAGAACTACAGTCACCTTGTCTCAGTGGGTAGGTAGTGTTTGTTTCTCACGGAGACCCCCGCTATGTGTGTCTTTTTTTATTTACAGAAACTTGCAGAGTTTTTGTAGAATATAATAATATTTAGCTTTGGAATTTGGAGGTCAAGGTTGACTTACCTCTTTTGGTTATCAGAAGGAATTTGTTTTCTTCTCCCTCATAACAGGGATTAAGTTAATTTTTTTTTTTTTTATTATATAGTCTTTTGAGTTATTATGTCCTCCACTTTCAGAGGCCCTGAAGCTCATCCAGTTTGTCCCAAATCACACACCTCTCATTCACAGGGTGTTCCATTCCTAAACCAGAAGTGATCCTCAAGTTGGAGCAAGGAGAGGAGCCGTGGATATTAGAGGAAGAGATCCCAAGCCAGAGTGACCCAGGTGAGTTAGTACGTATGAGCCAGATGGAGTTTAGGAGGAAATTAGATCACAAAGGGTTAGTTCAGAGCTTTAAGGCCATTGAAATGTCATCAGGAATCACCTTTTAGAGGCTCTGGACCTTTGGAAGTAGCATGTTGACATGACTCAAATATTCAGTCACTGAATCATCCAGTATCTCCCAGTGTCACTTTTATACAGAAATGTTATGTTTTTTTCCCCTTTAGGAATAAATTATATAGCGTTAAGTACACAGATCTTAAGTGTACACACATGTACTATATATGTGTATATGTATTCTTACTGTACATATGTGTATATAGAATATTTATATATATAGTATCTGGCTACTTTGGTTCAGTATTATGTCCATGAGAAACATCCATGTTGTGTATATCATTAGTTTATTGCTTTATATTGCTGTGTAGCATTCCATTGTGACTATCCCAGAGTTTATCTCTTTATTATATTGTTAAAACATCGTTAGGATACATATTTGAAACATATTGTTTTGAAACATACTTGTTTTGAGTTTTGAGGTATTTGAAAAACATTTATAAATATTCTTGTGTGTGTCTTTTTGAGGAGGACATAAACACTTACTTCTGTTAGATGTATGACCAGAAATGGACTTGCTGGGTAGAGTAATCACATATTTAGCTTTAGCAATATTTTTTAGTTTAAACAGTTTTCCAGAGAGGTTGTACGGAATTGTATTGCCACTGACAGTGTATGAGAGCTTTAAATGCAGTTTGTTATTGTGAGCACTTGGTATCGTCCATCTAATTTAGCCATTTTAGTCATTGTGTTGTGCTATCTCATTAGGTTTTCATTCCCATTTCTCTGATGACTGATGATGTTGAGCATCTTTTCATATGTTTGTTGGCTATTTGGATTTTCTTTAGCAAAGTTAACTGTTCAGGTCTTTTGCCTGTATTGTTTTATTGGATCATTAGTCTTTTTCTATTGAATTATAGAAGTTTTAAAATAGATTCCAAATATGAATCTTTGGCAGATGTATTTATTGAAAATACCATTTCTCAATTATGTCTTGTCTTACCATTCTCTTGAGGACTTCTGATGACAGTTAAAAAGACTGTCCTTTCTCCTGCTGAATTGTGGTTTTATCTTTGTTATTTATCAGGTGACCATATATTTGTGGTTTTGTTTCTGGGCTTTCTGTTTTGTTCCATTGGGTGATTTATCCATCTTCTTGACAATACCATTGTCTTTTATCTTTATAATTTAATTGTAAGTCATGACATCTGGCAGTGTTAGCCTTCTAGCTTTGCTATTTTCTTCAAGGTTGCCTGGCTATAGCATGAATACAGAATGTTGCCAAGAACATTTTAATCTACAAAATATATTAAAATAATTTCTATGTTTCCAGATATTATGGACAATGCTGTGATACTATGAGCTTTTGCATCTTCATATAAATTTTAGAATCAGCTTGTCAGTTTTCACAAATGCGCGTGCACGTGTGCGTGCACACACACACACACCCATATGCCTATACCTACTGTTTTAGGGCTTTTATTGGGATTACATTGATCATTTTGGAGAGAATTGACATCTAATGCTAGTGTATAGAAAAACAGTTGGTATTTGCACACTGGCCGTGTATCCTGCAACTTTGCTAAGTTTACTTATTCTGGGGGTTGTTTTATAGATTTCTTAAAAATTTTTAGGTCAATAATTGTGTTCTCTATGAATAAAGCCAAGTTTACTTCTCCTTCCTAATGTTTATACCTTTTTTCTTTTCTTTGCCTATTGTACTGGCTAAGAATGACAGTAACATGTTGTACGGAAGTGGTGAAGGTGAACATCTTTGTCTTATTCTTGACTTCAGAGAGAAACTATTGAGTATTTTAGAATTAATTTTGATTTTAACTGAAGGATTTCTATAAATATGCCTTATCATTTTGAGGAAGTTCTCTTCTATTCCTAATTTCCTAAGAGGGTTTTTGTTTTTAAAGATTTATTTATTTATTTTAGAGAGACAGAATGAGCATGTGCGTGGTGGGGAGAGGGAGAGAGAGAGTGTGTTAGAGGGAGAGAGGGAGTGTGTTAAGCAGACTCCGTGCTGAGCAGGGAGCCCAATGTGGCTCGATCTTAGAACCCTGAGCCAACCTGAGCCAAAACCAAGAGTCAGATGCTTAACTGACTGTGCTACCTGGGTGCCCCCCCCTTTTTTGAATCATGAATGAGTATTGGATTTTGTCAAATACTTTTTCTGCATGTATTGAGATAATCATGCTTTTTCATATTTATTCTGTTAATATGGTGAGTAATCTTGATTAATTTTCCAACGTTAAGCCAACCTATTATGTCTGAAATATATCCTCCATCATAATGTATTTTGCTCTTGCAATCACTGAATTTGGCTTTTCACTATTTTATGTAGGATTTTTCTGTGTGTGTGTGTGTTCATGAGAACTATTATCCTTAATTGTCCTTTATTGTAATGTTTTCAGGTTTGGGGTTGAAGATTGTACTACTTTCGTAAGATGAGTTGAGCAGTGTTTTATACTTTGCTATTCTATGGATGATATTATGTGAGATTATGTTATTTAATGTTTGATAGATTTCACTTATGAAGCTTTTCTGGGTCTGAAGTTATCTCTTGGTGGAGATTTTAAATTTCAGACTGTTAAATTTTTAGTATTTTACCATAAATACAACACATGAGGTTCCTGGAACAGAGCAGATGAATTAGTATTTGCTTAAAGCTAAGTAACAACTTTGTGGTTCCAGTGTACCTCAGTTTCTTACTCTTGAAGCAATGAGACAGAAACCAGGTGTTCTACACAAAAATACAAAGTTGGTATTTTGGGTGAAAAATACTGATAAAATGAATGTGGGTGTTTCTATAGAAGGGAGAGGTAGCTGTCCCCCTACCCTTTTAAAAGGAGAGAGGAAAACCTTTCCTCCCTTGGGAAGGATCCTGAGTTCACACTCTAACCCTTTGGACTATGAGTACATTTCTTCAGGGGAGAAAGAAGACCATTGTCTCCAGCCTTATACCCAGGATGTCACCAGGGCCCCCAGTTCCAGCGCCCCCACTGAAATGTGAGTCTCTCTGGAGTCTGTCTCTATCTAATTAGTCATAAATTACTTTCCAAGCCTCATTCTTTTACTTTAAGCTCCAAGTTTTATTGAGATTTGCTCAAGAAGTCCTAGCTGTGCAGAAACAAAATTTATTTTCCCTACAGCCCCACACAACCACTCATTTTATTTCTGACTTCTTGCCAGTTTTTCCGTATGTGTGCCATTCCTCCATAATTTTGGTTTAGTCTTTAACCATCAAGGTCTATCTTAGAAAGCTAGATGCTCTTCAGGTATTTCCATTCACTTTTTTTTTTTTACCTGGCCCAAGGCATCAAACCAGGGGCTGCATTCGTATTAGTATTTTGCCCAGACTTAGCCTTGGCCTGCAAGAAAGAAGTCCGTGGCACATTCTGTTATCCATAGAGCTCTGGCCAGCCTGTTGAAGCTGACTTGAATGCCTTCCAGGCTGCGGCCGGGTCATGAAGCATTTCACCTCAAGACAGGAACAGATTCTGTACCTCTTTCTAGCAGAATAACCACACTATAGGCAGTAAACCTGCTCCCAGAGGGCATGTCTGAGGTCTGTGCACCACCAGGTATTTCCTCAAATACTTGAGTGTTTCTGATAACCACCCCTGGGTGCAGATCACACTTAGATTGCAAGTTAATGCCTTATTTTCACACATGCACACACGCAAGCACAGTCCCAGAGGGTACACCTGGAAATAACGATTTTGCAGTTGTTAGGCCCCCAGCATGACTTCTCACTGTCTGGTAAGCTTTAGACTCCCCATCCCCAATACCAGTCCAAATATTTGATTTTGTCCTATTTTCAGAGGGACTTCCTGAAGGCAGTCCCCCTTGTTCATGACACCATTTCACTTGCCCCCCTTCTCTGGTGTGCATGACACCTGGAGGTGTTCCACAGGGAAAATGTAGGAGCATCAAGCAGGGATGTTGAGAAGTGAGTTGCTTCTAAAATCATTTTTTTCTAGTTATCCTTCAGTTCTTGAGTTCTAATTTAATACAGAGAATTTCAGTTTCTTGAAATAAATTCAGTTGCTTGAAATTTGTCGATACTGTCTGTTTTCATAAATGTTCCATGCTCACTTGAGAAGAAGGTATAGTCTTTAATTGTTTTGTATAATGTTCTACAGTGGTATTTTTTCAGCTCTTCTGTATTCTGATTGTCTTTTGTCTGCTGTTCTGTCAGATACTAAGACGTTTTAAAGTCTCCAACTGTGATATTTCTTGAAGCTGTATTAGTAGGCAAATAGGAATTTAGGATTGTTACATTTCACTTTTTAATGGACTCTTCAACCATTATGCAGTGCCTGTCTCCATATATGCAGTGATACTTTTGCCTTTAAGTCTGAGTCTGGTGTTAGCGTTGCCACACCAGCTTTCTTTTCCATCCTTTACTGTCAGCCTTACCATGTTCTTATATTTAAAGTGTGTCTCTTATAAACTGAAAGCAGTAGTTGTTTGTTAAATCTAGTCTGACATTTAAAATTTCTTATTTATATTATTTAGTCCAATTATGTTTACTGGTATAATTGGACTTAAGCCTACAGTCTTGCTATTTCTTTTCTTTATGTACCATGTCTTCTTTCTTCTCTTATTCCTCATTTCACAACTCCTTTTGGATTTAAACAAACTTTTTTTTTAACTTAATTCAATGCTTTATTTTTTTATATGTTTTTAAGATTTTATTTATTTACTGGAGAGAGAGAGAGCACAGTCAGGGGGAGCGGCAGGCAGAGGGAGAAGCAGGCTTCCCGCTGAGCAAGGAGCCTGATGTGGGACTCGATCCCAGAACCCTGGGATCATGACCTGAGCTGAAGGCAGACGCTTAACCAACTGAGCCATCCAGGCGTCCCTCCTCTTGGATTTTTAAATTATTATATTCTTTTGTCTCTATTAGCTTTTAGTCATATATTCTTTCAGAAAATTACTAGTTTTTTGGAGGTTACACTGTATATAACAATATGTAAGTGTGGACATCAGCGGTGTGAAGATGTTCAAAGTCATGGGAACTGTATGAGATCTTCTTGCTCATGAGTATAAATAAAGGAGAGACGTGGTCTCATGGCTGAATCCTGGGGCACCATGAGGTTTAGAGGTTTAGAAGTGATAAAGATGAGGATTGAGCAGTGGGGACTATAGGAGGAATCTGTGAGGATGGACTAAAGTTGAGAGAATATGATATTCTGGAGACCAAGAGAAGTATGTATTTCAAGGAGAAGTAAATGGACCTCAGGTTTGAAGATGGAAGCATAAAGTTGGCATTTTAACCTTGACTTCTTAGGAACAGGAATACAAGAAGAACTAGCAGATGCAAATCAAACATCACTTTTGAAAGAACAAGCAGAAAGTTTAACTCTCAACAGCAAAACAAGGGGAAGGGGTTGCCAATAGCTGTGAAATACCAGGTGGAGGTGTGTGCTGAGCTAAAGATTTCAGAGCTGCTCCTTTCAAAGATGGAACCTCAAATTGTCAAACCTAATCTTGTAGAACAGCAGGAAGGACTTTTAGGATGGTGCTAGATCTCTGTACCGGGTTTCTTCCTGAGAAGCAGAGGGATGGGGTAGAATGAGGACTCATAGGCACAAGCTGTGTTGGAAAGCTGCAGTCCATCTGTGAAGTAGTAGAAAATGAAGAAGACTTTATACTTGAAAAAACTAAAAAGACTTCTCTCAGTTGAAGAATAGTAAAGATTGAGGAGAGCATGCAGTGCCCTTATTCCTGCCAGTTTGGAATACGGTTCTCAGTTCACCCCATGGGAAAGCTGGATCAGAAAATAGCTGGATCAGGAAAAATCCATCTCCTTCAGTGCTCAGGAATTAAAAAAACAAAAAAACAAAAAAACAGCCATCACAAGATATATGCAAAGTTATTACAAGAAATAGGAGAAGACAGGACAAACAAGTGGTAATTCATGTGAAAAATGTTGTCATGTAATGCCTAAATATTGTTACTAGTTTTTAATAAAAATTAACAATAAAATAATGGCTTTGGGTGTGCAAGAACATAAAACAGGCAAATAAGAGGTTCTGAAAGAGATAGTAAGACCGCAGGAAGATGTATTATGAGCTGTGTTATATCATAGGAAATAATTGGGGAAAAAAAGGAATAAAATAGCTGAGTAATCAAAACACAATTTGAAAAAACAGGTAGAAAAGATAATGCTGAAAGTATAGTAGGAAATATGGAGGTTATAAATGAGAAACCGAAACAACAAAGGGTATGGAAACAGTGCCTGACATCAAGTAATGGCTTCTTGTTTTCATTACATATGTTTTATAATTTTTATCCCAAATTTCTTTTGCCAAGACAAGCTCATTGAATACTTCAGCTCACTTCTCCTTCTATGTTTGTCCATCAAAGAGGGCACGTTCTGCATGGAGCACTGGGTGTTAAACGCAAACAATGAATCATGGAACACTACATCAAAGACTAATGATGTAATGTATGGTGATTAACATAACATAATAAAAAAAAAGTTATTTCCTGGTCATATAATTAGGTAATGGTATTTTATGAGACTTCTCTCCACCCCCCCCACCCCCGGATTTTGATCTTCCAAAGAGAAAGATCTTGGTTTCACTCTTTAATAATCCAGAATTGCACATTATTAATGATTTTGCTTGACCATGGACCACATAGAGCCAGATTTCCATAATAATTCAGAAAGTCATTACCATAAACTCTTTGTAAACATACATGCCAGGTCATCAGTCATTAGATTCTGATTTGTCAGCTATACCTTGACGTAGAGACTGAAAAATCATGCCTGTGTTATCATTCTTGTTCCTTCTGAACAGAAGTAACACATGCTCATTTTAAAAATTATCATGGAATATGAAAGCCAACTCCATGTCATCCTCCTCATACACACACACATCAAGTCCTAAGAGGAACAGGACACTTTTGATGGGGTTTATATAGATTTGTTAATAACATTTAAATATTTATTTTCATAATAAAACTAACATTATTAATATCATAAATATTAAATATATTATTCTATACATGCTTTTTTTGATCTTTCATTAGCATTTTACCATATTTGCTGGTTTTTACAGAAGTATTTTTAAAAGTACAGACATTAAACCACTAAATCTTTCAGTATGATGCCTAAAAGCTTGTGTTTGGTAAAGCTTTCCAGTTAATTCTGATGAAAACCATTTGTTAAATACCATTGACTTAATATCTATTCAGAGTGTTGAAAGAAAATCATAGGTAGAGTTATGGCTGCCAGAAACATAGTTGAATGAAAATCAGAGCTGCGTGAAATATTTAAAAATTCAGTGTTTAACAAAGACGTTGTTATAGCAGCGTAGCTCATGTTTGTGTTAAATTATACAAACAGACTTTTTTTTTTTTTAACTTTTTATTTTATCACCCAGTGCTCATCACGACAAGTGTGCTACTTAATCCCCATCACCTATTTCACCCATTCCCTCCACCTCCCCTCTGGTAACCATCTGTTTGTTCTCTGTAGTTAAGAGTCTATTTCTTGGTTTCTCTCTTTCTTTTTCCCTTTGCTCATTTGTTTTGCTTCTTAAATTCCACATGTGAGTGAAATCATATGGTATTTGTCTTTCTCTGACTGGCTTATTTCACTTAGCATTATATTCTCTAGCTCCATCCATGTCCTGGCAAATGGCAAGATTTCATTCTTTTTTATGGCTGAGTAATATTGCATTGTGTGTGTGTGTGTGTGTGTGTGTGTGTGTGTGTACACCACATCTTCTTTATCCATTTGTCAATTGATGAACACTTGGGCTGCCATCATAATTTGACTATTGTAAATAATGCTGTTATAAATATAGGAGTACATGTATCTCTTGAATTAGTGTGCTTGTATTCTTTGGGTAAATACTCAGGGGTGCAGTTGCTGGATCATAGGGTAGTTCTATTTTTAACTTTCTGAGAATCCTCCATATTGTTTTCCACAGTGGCTACACCAGTTGCATTCCCACCAAACAGTACATGAGGGTTCTTTTTTCTCCACATCCTTGCCAACATCTGTTGTTTCCTGTGTTGTTGATTTTAGCCATTCTAACAGGTGTGAGGTGATATCTCATTGTGGTTTTGATTTGTATTTCCCTGATGATGACTGATTTTGAGTATCTTTTCATGTGTCTTTTGATCATCTTTATATTTTCTTTGGAGAAATGTTTGTTCATGTTATAGGCCTTTCTTTTTTTTTTTTCTTTTTCTTTTTAGCAAATGAAGCTGAAAGTGATGGGGAGATTTGGGAAGGCAACTTTTTAAAAACATTATTGGACTGTAAACTAACAGAATGAAAGAACTTGAATATAAGATTATGGATGAGAATGAACAATTTATGGGGACAAACAGCTGGGCTTACAAGAATAAAATATATTCATTCTAGATTTGTAAATTGATGGTTTGGTTCTAATCTGAATCCAGATACAATGATATGTTTGCTTCAGGGTGATACCTTTAAAAAAATATTGTCAGTTCTTAGGTTATTGGACTCAGTAGTATTAGTATTGGCATTCTATGGAATTGTATGATACATTATTACAAATATAGTATTATAGATAGCAGAGGAGTAAAGACAGGTATGCATAACCAAAAAATATTAAGGTACAGGTAAATGAAAGTTCCAGGTTCAGGTTTAGAATTGTAGGCTTTCATGTTATGCAGAGATATAAAAGCATATATATATATATATATATATATATGCAGGATTGAAGACTAATGTTAAATGAGGTGAGATTTGGTTGGGAGAAAGCCAGAAAACATTGGAAGAGGGTTTGATGGCCAGGAGAAGTCCACACTATTGAACAACTCTGATGGAATAAAGGGAAAATACTATAAATCAAAAGAGCTGTAAATCTGATCCTGTGGCAAGGATGGCTTGACCACTCATTGTTTTTGCTATTTTGTTGTGTGTTTTTATTCCTGGTGCATCAGAGCTAGAAACAGAATTAGAGATATTAGAGATAGCGTTATCGTACCATTCCCTTTTGAATTAGAGGTCTTAGAAATTTGATTTGTTGTTATTGTGTGGAATGGAAAAGAGAGATGAGACTGGAAGTGTGTATACTGTTGTTATAATCGAGACATGAGGAGATAATGAACTAAGCTTGTTCACTCCCTGAAACCTAATTAATTTTGTTTCTCCTAAATATCCTTGTCAACTAATCTTCCTTGTTACTCTATTTATATTTCAGAATTAATTAATAACAGTAGAAACTATTCAAGAAAGAAGTTCAATGAGTTTAACAAAGGTAGAAATTGGCTCCATAATGATAAATATGAAAGAATTCATTCTGAAGAGAAACCTTATGAATATAATAAAAATGGGAATGGCTTCCACCTTAATGACGACTTTGTTCACCATCAGAAAATTCAAATTTTGGAGCAACCTTTTGAATACAGTGAATGTAGGAAAGCTTTCCATGAGAATTCACTCTTTGTTGTAAATAAGAAAGCTTACACAGGGAAGAATACCTGTGAATACACTGAATATGGGAAGATCTTCTGTGATATGTCATCTCTCATTGCTCATCAGAGAACACATCCAAGAGAGAATCACTGTGAATTTAATGAATGTGGAGAAAACTTCTTTGAGGAATCCATTCTCTTTGAGCATCAGAGTGTTCAGCCTTTCAGCCAGAAGTCAAACCTCATTCCAATTCAGAGAACCCACTCAATTGACAATATACTTGAGTATAATGAATGTGGAACACTTTTTAGTGAAAAGTTAGTCTTTGGTGTACAGCAGAGAACACACATAGGAGAAAAACCTTATGAATGTCATGAATGTGGAAAAACCTTCAACCAGAAGTCAGCCCACACAAGACATCAGAGAACACACACAGGGGAAAAATCTTGTGAATGTCATGAATGTGGGAAAACTTTCTACAAGAATTCAGACCTCATTAAACACCAGAGAATTCACACAGGGGAGAAACCTTTTGAATGTCAGGAATGTGGGAAATCCTTCAGTGAAAAGTCTACCCTCACTCAACATCAGAGAAAACACACAGGGGAGAAACCATATGAGTGTTGTGAATGTGGGAAAGCCTTCTCATTTAAGTCCGTCCTTACTGTACATCAAAAAACACACACAGGGGAGAAGCCCTATGAATGTTATGAATGTAGGAAGGCCTTTCTCAGAAAATCAGACCTCATTAAACATCAAAGAACTCACACAGGGGAAAAACCTTATGAATGTAACGAATGTGGGAAATCCTTCTCTGAGAAGTCAACTCTTACCAAACATCTGAGAACTCACACAGGTGAGAAACCCTATGAATGTACTGAATGTGGAAAATTTTTCTGCTACTCCTCAGGTTTCACAGAACATCAGAGAAGACACACAGGGGAGAAACCTTTTGGATGTAATGAATGTGGGAAAAATTTCCGTCAGAAGTCAGCCCTAATTGTTCATCAGAGAACTCACATAAGACAGAAACCTTATGAATGTAATGAATGTGGAAAATCATTCTGTGTAAAGTCAAAACTCATTGCACATCATAGAACACACACGGGGGAAAAACCCTATGAATGTAATGTTTGTGGAAAATCATTCTATGTGAAGTCTAAACTCACGGTACATCAACGAACACATTTGGGGAGAAACCCTATAAATGTAATAAATGAGGGAAATCACTCTGGGTGAAGTCAAGAGTTTATAGAAAACACAAATGGAGAGAAAAATCCATTGATACAATGATTTTAATAACATCTTTGGCCTAAAGTCAGTTCTCACAATATAGCAGAGAACTTAGAGAGGGGAGAGAATGATATGAAGCTATGGAATATAGAAAACTTTTGTGTTGGAATTTGAACCATACTGTATATCAGAAAACTCAGTGGAGAAAACCTATTGGTGAATGAATATAGGGAACCTTTTGCCCAAAGCCACACCTCACTAAACATCAAAGAAAACACATAAGTTAGAAACCTCTATCAGCATTCGTAGGGTAGAGAAGACTTTATCCCCGGGCCTTAGAAAATGCACAAATTATAGGAAACTATAGGAAAATATTTACTCTGAGGTGATGACTTGTGTGAAGTGCTTGAAGTAGGATCTGGTCGATGTTGGAAATTACTAGAGAAAATATTTTAAATATGTGGAAGCTTTAAGTTAAATCTAAGCTTATACATCAGAGATTTTGAAGGGTTTCTAGCAATTGAGGAAATGTGGAGAACTTTTCATTTAGAAATAGTGTTTTATTTTTGTAAAGATACACTTTGGCCCCTTGCCAGGTCCGTTGTTCCCCTCTGTTTAAGGTATTAGACGTGAAAACACACCACACTGGGAGCACAGTTGTAAGCACGTCAGAGGCTTATTGTTCAGGCATATGCAAAACAAGAGAAGACTTTTAGCAAGAGGACCCACCAACAGGACTTTCTGATGTCCAGGTAAAAGAGAGAGATTTTGGATCTGGTGACACATGTAGGAGTAGCTTGCCAGCAGGATGTTTTAGTAATTCTGGGATAGACTGATTTTGAGTGGCTCATCCTGGAATAATGGATCAAAGGGGAAAGGTGAGTTGCTATGCATGCAACATAGTGAATGTAGGAAAAGTGAGTGTGGAGCATAGGTGGTTTCTTCCCTGGCAAGTGTCATCCTGTTGTGAGTGACTTACTGTACCCAACTCTATTTCTCCACATACTTAACACCTTTCATATGTGATGTAACAATTTAAAAAAACTGAAACAATTATATATGAAAATGCATTCTTAAATATAGAGCTTTAAAAAAGCACAAGTAGAGGGCGCTTGGGTGGCTCAGTTGGTTAAGCGACTGCCTTCGGCTCAGGTCATGATCCTGGAGTCCCAGGATCGAGTCCCGCATTGGGCTCCCTGCTCGGCAGGGAGTCTGCTTCTCCCTCTGACCCTCCTCCCTCTCATGCTGTCTCTCATTCTCTCTGTCTCAAATAAATAAATAAAATCTTTAAAAAAAAAAAAAAAGCACAAGTAGATACTACTACTGGGTGGGTTATAGTAGCTTACAGCAGATCAGTGTACTAACTGAGAACAACTAGAAAAATATCACAAAAAGCATCTATTTGAATGCAGCCTATTGCTGCAGAAGCAAAGAGGACTAGAGGTAACATTCAGGAGAGGAGTGAATCATAGAAAGTACACGGGCAAAATGCAGCTGTTTTACCTGGGAGCACTTGCCAGTTCTGGCCACAGAGAGGAGCCTGAGTATTGAGCGTGGCTCAGGTGGAGGCTGGAATTCTTAGGAGGGCAGAGACGAGAGCCAGCAGAGCTTTTGGCTGTCAAGGCTGGAGTGAAAAATTCTTAAACATTAGAGGTCAGACACATAGACAGTTTTTAAGGAAATTTTTAGAAGACTGACTCAGCACAGGGCAGGAGCCTGAAAAGCAAAGCTGAAAGTAGATTTTTTTTCAGTACTAAGAAAAAATGATTAGAATTTGGGAACTGCCAGTAGATTGGGCCCTTGCTGAGCACAGCATGCTATCAGTAAAAGCAAGGTCATCTCAGAGGTAGATTGTACCTTATTGCAATTGCAAATGATACCTGGTATTTAAAAAAACAAACAGAAACCTGCCCAGAAAGAAAACTCTTAAGAACAGATGGCTTCACTGTAGTTATTCCAAATATTTAAGAAGGAATTGATACCAAGCTTTTATGAATTTTTCCAGAGAAAGGAAGATGGAACTTTTCTAATTCATTTTGTGAGCTCAGTATAACCTTGATACCAAAACCTGTAAAAGACATTTCAGGAAAGTAAAGTTACCAGTATTTTATGAATTAAGGTGCATAATCCTAAATTTAAAAAAATCCAGTCATATCCATGGACCAAGTAATGTTTATTAGAGGAGCCAAAGGATTTAATATTTAAAATGAAATCAGTTTGGCCAGTTCTTCCTCTGACGTTCTTCTTTCTCCCTTGTGCTTTCTGTATTTCTCTCTTGCCTTCCCTTCCTAGAGTGGACGTCAGAACAGGCCTGCGTTGGGGGATGAGAAAGGTATTGTGGTGAGGTGCACACCTGCATCAGGAGTGTTGAGGGCAGCTGGAAGAGACGATCAGCATGGCTGAAATATTTAACATTGAGCAAATAAAATGTATTGCGGATGATGAGAGCCAGATTGGAGAAGGCTTTCATAAAAATGGAGAAGGGGAAAGTTAGAAAACCCCGGAGTGTTGGATTGAAATGTAACTCGTAGAAGTTGTGTGTGCGTGTGTGTGTGTGTTTTATGGATCTATCTGCTGAGAGGGCCTGCACACAGTGATACCCCAGGCGCAGTGAGCACACCCAAGTGCCAGTTTACTAATTTCTAAATGCTGTCCTCCACCAAAAAAGAGACCAAGTTTCTGGAGTGATGGCAGTTTCCAGGTCAGAGATAGGAAGAAATACAAGATGAACCTGAATCATCTTACCTACCAGACAGAAAATGTTCAGAGACTCTTGGAGACAAAAGTACCATCTTGGACAGGTTCCACTGGCCAAATCTGAGACAGTTCGGACAAAAAATAACAATAGCATCAGAATACAAGAGACTTAATAAAATGTGAATCCATTAATTTATAGTGATATAAATAAATGAGTAAATTCATGGAGAAGGGAAAACTTGTCTTTACAGAAGATGCCAATTAATGTAGGGAGAATAATGGAAATAGGAAAACACCATAACAGCCATCAGAGTGGTGGTTGATTTAGGTGGTAGTTGCCAACATAGGCTAGAGTGTGTGGGTAGAGGTTTGATGAAGAATATGATATTAACATAATCTTCAGAAATTTCCCCACAAAATACTAATCAGCTGCAAAGGTGAAAGTGGTAATTTTATGATTAAACCCGGCAGAAACCAACATGATTAGGTGATCAAAGTTCACCTCACCAGTGGAGTAGGACAGGTCAACACGATGTGTCCCCTGATGGGATGCCCTGAGAAGAGCCAGCATCATCTGTGTGGTATTTTTGCCAAGAAAGCATGACCTGTGTTTACTTAGGAGGAGATACCAGGTGAACCCATTTGAAAGGTTATTTTACTGAATGCAAAGCCTATTGTCTTTAAAAATGTGAAGGACATGAAAACTGCTCCAGATTGGAGGAAACTGATCTATTTTAAAGATTTATTTATTTAGAGAGTGAGTGATCGAGTGAGTAGCGGGAGGGGCAGAGGGAAAGAATCTTCAAGCAGACTTCCTGCTGAGTGGGGAGCCCTATGTGGGGCTTGATCTCATGACCCTGAGATCATGACCTGAGCCAAAACCAAGAGTCGGACTCTTAACCGGCAGAGCCACCCAGGTACTCTGAGACTGGAGATATTTTAAAATAACAAAAAGGAAGACTAGACATTGTTAGAAGAGTTGGCAGAATTCAGCATATGGATTGGATGGTGGTGTTTATCAGTGTTTATCTCCTGACTTGGATGATTGTTGGGTGCCTTTGTGGAAGATACACCCTGGAGTAGGTAGGGGTAATGGAGCCTCATGTCTGCAGCTTATTTTCAGATGCTTTAGAGAAAGACTAATAATTTGTGTGTTTGAGTGCAAGTATGCGAGGGACAGATGGAGGAGGCGCAGTGCAGTTAGGGGAATCGGAGTGAGGGGGATATGGGAATCTTTTTGGTATTATGCTTGTGACTTTTTTAAGTGTGAAGTTATTTCAGAATAAATATTTAAAAGTTCAAGTTAATTGACGTAACCTACCACATCGGTAGAAAAAGCAAGTAAAGCCACTTGATTAATTCAATAGATGCAGAAAACATATTTGATAAAACTTTACACCCATTTGTAGTTAAAAAAACAAAACTAGGAATGGAAGGAAAGCTCGTCAAAAACTAGGAAACCAACATAGAGCAAACATCATACCAAGTAGACAAATACTGAGATATCTTTTCCTGATATGAATGAGACAAGAATGCTTATTACCACTTCTGTTTAACATAGGACTGAAGGCTCTAGCTTATCAGTAAGGCAAAAAGGAAAAAGAAGTGTAAGGCATAAAACTGGGGAGATCGAAGCACAACTCATTATTGGTAGGTGGTATCATTGCATAGAAATGTGAAAAAAATCTATGGAGACGTCATTAGAAGTAAGTGAATTAGCAAACTCACTGTACAAAAATTGTTTCTATATATAAACTACAAATAGAAAATAAGTGATACCAGGAAAGTTGTATCCACCCAGGATAGGGTAGCAGAGACCAGATTTACCTGCCTGCCTAAAAACACAGGGAAAAGGGAAACAGATAAAATCTAGGAAATAATTGTTTTCATGTCAGTGGACATTAGGCAGTGATCCCTGCGGGTGATAAGTTCACTACATTGTGGTGATGCTTATACAGGTGTATTAAATTATATCAAGATGTACACTTTAACTACTGTTACATTGCTGTTAGGTTTACAGTAGTCCTAAAACAGTAAGTTCTAGAAATCCAAAAACTTCATTGCCAAATTAAGGGATGTTGAAGACCAAAATAAATGGAAGGATATACTCACTGTGTTGATGACTTTGAAGACTCATTCCCCCCTCCCCAAATTGAATGGTAGATTCAGTGCAACCCTAAAAACCATCTAGCAGCTAATTAGAAATTAGCAAGTCTGAATTTAAAATGTGTATGCAGATTCAATGACTAACCCTAGTTAAGACAACCTGAAAATAGACAAATCTGCAGGACTTAGACTGCTGGATATCAAGATGGTGGTTCAGGCACAAGCATAAACAATGTCCAGAAACAGGCCCCAATATATTCGTCTATGACCAAGGTGACACTGTGATATCGTGGTAAAAAGATGGCATTTTTGGTAAATGGTGCTGGGTTAATTGGCTCTCTGTATGTGTAAGAAAAACACTTTGTAGCCACCCACCATACACAGAAACTCGTTTCGTATGGATTTACATCTAAATGTGAAAGGTAACACTTTCAGAAGAAAATATAGGTGAGCATCATGACTTTGGCTAAGACACCTTAAACAAGAAACCAAAACCATAGATAGATTCGACTACATTAGAATTAAGAACTGTTTGTTCAAAAACAAAAACCAAAAAAAACATAGGAGTTAAAAGACTGGGAGAAGATAATTGCAATGCATATCTCAAACCAAGGACTCTTCTACAGAATATAGAAGGAACTCCAGCAAATCAGCAAGAAAGAGAAAAATGAGCAGCAGATTGAACATAATTCACAGAGTATACTTAAATGATCAGTAAATGTGGAAAGTTGCTCAATTTCATTAGTCATCAAGGAAAAGCAAATTCTAACAAATATGCAATACCACTGCACACCAGAATGACTACAGTGATAAAACACCAACTGATAATGAAGATCTGAAGCAACTGGGACTAATAAAAGTTTGGTGGGAATGTAAGTTGTGCACTTTGGAAAAATGGACTCTTTCTACTAAAGCTGAACATACATGTAAATTTTGGCTGTGTAATTATACTTCTAGGTGTATCTCGAACAGAAATATATGTTTCCTGAAAGAATAATCATGGTGGTAGTATTCTCAATAGCCCAGAAGAAGTAGAAATAGCATGAATGGGCACCAACACTGAAATGCATGCATAAATTGTGCTCTTTGTTCAGTGCTGTATTCTACAGCAGTAGGAATGAATGAACCACAATTGTATGCATGCAAAAGAAACAACACAGAAGAGTAAGTGCTGTGTTTTTCCACTCAAGAAGCAGGCAGATGTAATACATGGTGTTAGAAGTTGGGATGGTGGTTGCCTGGATGGTGGCAGGTTGCAGAGATTGACTTAAGGGGGCTTCTCTGGTGCTAATAGTATTCTTTTTATCTCAATATTGATTGTAGGTGTATTCAATTTACAAAATTTATTGTGA